AATGTTGTAAGCCAAAATAACTTAATAGTAGCATTTATTATATGTTTCACAAAAAATAATAGTTTTTAATTACTGATTATGAAAGTATTTTTTCCTCTCATAAGAATCGAAATTGAAACCTTCATAACAAATTCTTGTATATTTAAGGTTTGTGGGAGAGAGAATGAAGTACGGGTTCAATTCAATAATTTCAGCATCAGTTCTCTCTAAACATGCTCCACAATTACTTGGACAAGCCAAACATTTTCCATTTGAATCTTTGCTTTTTAAAAATCCCTATGGAGTTTCCGAACATTATATGCAGGTAGCAACCCCTTTTATTATTTCGCATTTAATGCATTCCGAATCACAATTTTTTATACATTTATGTTCTTCTAAAATATACCCGAAAGGACAGGATGTGCAAACTACTTCAAAATTACTTTGGAAAGTGTCTACAGCATAAGACTCAAAAGGGTGTGAATTATCTTAATTAAAAACATATTTATAATAGGCTTTTATTTTCCATTTCCAATAATCTTATTAAAGTTAACTCTATTAAATGCAAGTCTTACAATCAGACTCACATTTTAAACATTAACCAGTTAATATTGATGAATAATATCCATCCGCACAAATTATACAAAAAGTAATGGCTTTACTGTAATTTTTGATACATTGCACACAGTTTGATATGAATAAGCAATCTGTATTTTACATAGAAGTTTTACTTGTTGTACTAATTAAGCACTCAGTATCACCAGAAGAATTGATAATGAGTCCAAAAGTGCAATCATTAGTTATTGAAGATGTAGGAGGTTTTTCTTAACAATTAAATGTTATTTAATTATAATAAAGATTAGCTTAACAGAGAGCACATCCAATAAAATATTATTCTTAACTGGATTCAAGAATCTCATAATTGATATCAATAGTTGTATGAGTAATCCCATCTTTTAAGTAGTATTAATAGCAATAAATACAGCTTGCTATATTGCAAGGTTAACAATTATGACCATCAAAAGTTTAAAAATATTTGGAAGGATCATCACAGTATAGGCAACTACCATTTGAATTACAACTCGAACAGTTCTATCCACAAGGAATACATACCCCATTTGACAGATATGTTCCAGTTGCACAAGTCATGCATAAAAGTTTTTCATAATTTATTATACAATCTGAACACCCTGGGCATTGTGTACATGAAAACTCTCTTGTCAAAACATAACCAGAATAACAAATCTCGCAAATCGATTAATTTTAGCAAGTTCCACATC